CATATATTTATATATTTACGGATCGGATCGGATATCCGCTTTCCAAAATTTTAATATTTGCGATTTGCTTCGACTTTAACGGATATTGAATTTTAGTATTTGCTTTGATTCGAAAGTTTACGGATATCCGAAATTTTCGGATCGAATCGAAACGAATAACGGATCGAATCAAATATAACGGATAAAATGCCCAGCCCTAGTAATATGTGTGATATTGGAAGTAAAGAAATCGTCACTTATAATCGATTGTATAGTTAAATCAGCTGCAACACCCGACTGTCGGGTCCTCGACATTTATACCGGGGCTTTTCAAGTAATAAAAGAAAATTCGTGATTGCGATGTCCAAATAATAATTCATGATTGCAAAGTAAAGAAAAAAAAACTCACAAAAAGTGAGAAGTCAAATCACAAATTTTTGTTTTTGTGAATGAAGACATAAACTTGTCAAGATTAAAAACAAAAACTTTAGCTTTCGTGTATGAATAGCAAAAGTTTCATTGTAAAGATTTTGAATATGGTGGTTTGTTGTCGTGAGTGAAACAAGGCAGCCATAACACAATGAAGACGACTTCTTGCAACTCGTGTATGACAACGGATCCAACTTGGACTTGTAAAGATAATTAGGCCCAAAGAAGATGCACGCATCACTCATGGTCGTTATCTGGTTAACAGAAAAATAACAATTTCCATCAATTTTATAACCGTTATAACCTGAATCATAATTTTACGCAATTAATAATTAGTTGAAGAATAAATATGCACATATAATATTTGATTATTTAATTAACCGATTGAAAATACTTGAGGAGTTAATACATCAATATCTTTTTTTTAAAAAAAATTCACAATTTAAAAGATTTTCAAATCAAATATCTTATACAATAAAGTAGGTTTTTCTCCCTTATGCATCCACAACAGCATTTGTGAAGGGGGCAAAAAGGCCATGTCAGCATTCACCTACTCAAATTAGACCGACCAAATTGAAGCTCCCCCGTATCGGTTTAAAGTGGTTTTTCTTGCTCGGTTTTCTGATTGATGTTGGGCTGGGTTTAATGGTGTTGGAGGCCCATTATTTATTAGGATTTCACTGTGTTTTCTCTTCGATTGCCAGGAGCCTCCACCTCCATAGCGCCGCAGGAACAAAGTTCTGGACTAACGTAACCGCTTCCTTTCCCATTAATGTCTTATTAACTCTCACCTGTTGATCATTAAGCACAGTTAAACCCATTATCTTCATCTCTTCGACTCTCGCAGGAACTGTTTGTAGGTTGAGTATAAATACCTCTGTATCCAGCGATGTCGACCTCATTCCAAACGCTCTCGAAGAAAAAAACAAGCAAATGATTCCCGCCATGGCAAACTCCTATACACTCCTTGCTGATTTGAATGCCGGTCGTTGCTCGAACACGGCGGAGGTCTGGCTTCTGCGTTTTTGGAAGGCGTGGAACACCAGCAGAAACAGCGGACGGTCCGGCGAACTGATGAGCCTTGACATGCTCCTCATTGATGAGAATGTAAGAATCGATTCTCTACAATATGTTCCTCTTAGGAGGTTTTTTTTTTGATCTGTGAAAGGTTTAGAGATTTGTTTCTGGAAATTATATACCAACTTATTTTAAAATTAACAATACACTCAGTAGTCGGTGATTTTAATGATTCCAATATTCGTTTTCGATTTAACTCTAAAGCTTTCCTTAATTGAAGCTTTCGAATATTTGTTACTCACTCTCAGTGATTGTTTCCGTATTTTTTTTATTTTAATGTTTCTAATATTCGTTTCCGAGTTAACTCTAACGCTTTCCTTAATCGAAGCTTCCGAATATTTGTTCCCACGCTCATTGATTCTTTCCGTAGGTTTTTTTCAGAAAAATTGACTGAAGGTTTTTTTTTTAAATGAACAAATAGGCGATGCTGATGCAAGCTTCTATTGCTGCCGATCGACAGATGAGATTCCGGCAGTCCCTCAAAGAAGGTTCTCTGTACAGCCTAACCGGGTTTGATGTCACGCGCAGCAACCCAAAATACCGGTTATCTGATGCGACTCTCTCCATACGGTTCAATGATGGGACTTTCTTGGAGAAGATTGAAACCACAGCCCGAACCATACCAACCGAGCTCTTCCGATTTCCATCCTACAAAACCATACTTGCGTTAGGCAACACCGGCAAAGAACTCCCAGGTAGATATTGCAAGATTATATATTTGACTTTTTTCTGAATGTTTAGTTTAACATGATTTTTTTTCCCCGTAAAAACAGATATTTTGGGTGAGCTCAGAGCAATTAGGAGCACGATCACTGATCGTATACCAGGGGAACAACCTGTTATTCTCACTTTAATGCTTGAAAGATGGTTTGGTTTCTGTTTACTCCATTGGATATACATTAATAATAATCGAGTTAACAAGCCTTTGTTTTTGTTTTTGTTTTTGGCAGAGACGTGAACGTTTGTGTAAGTATGTTTGACAGGTACTCCCATTGGATCAATGTGGGAGTTGAAGCACATATACTTGAACAGGTACAGAGATCTGCTACAAACCAGAAACTGAAGGTCGAAAGCAAAACAAATATCTTTAGTAAAAGCTAATCCTTTGTTTCAAAGCGTTACTTGCTAAACGTTTTGTGATCTTTTACAGAATTGGGAAAATTATGTTTAAAGACAAGAAGTATCAAAAGGAAGTACAACCGTAGAAACCAGACAAAAGGAAAGACCTTTGTGAATATATCTTTGGCACTACTCAGAGATTTTGTTTTGTATACAATAAGTAGAGATCCATTCAAGTTTCCTTTCATTGTGTATAATAATAGGTTGCTGTCACAGAGGTACTTGGAGGTGGTCGCTTCTTTGTTCAGTCGGTCGGAGACCAGAAACTAGCTTTGATTCAGAACCGTCTTGCATCTATGTTTGCTAAAGAGGGGTGACATCGTTCTTGCACAGTTTATCCTTGACAACTTCTGGAACCGTGGAATGGTAATTTCCAGTACACCATCTTAGTTTCTCTGCTTTGTTTTGCTTCAATTTATTCATTTGATTGATACCTATTTTCAGATTGTGAATGCACCACGAGGAGCTATTGAAATGTAAATTTGAAGTGTTCTACATCGATTATGGAAACCAATATATGATGAGTCTTCTCCTCTGTCCACGAGCACAGACAAAATAAAACCATAAAAGAGTGACCGAGGGACTGAGCACCAAGAACAACCGCCACGCTTGAGAATAACAACTCAACACGTCAGAGAAGGAGGGTGTCTCCAGACTTACCTTCGTGCACTCCTCCTGTTGTTAAAGCTCAGAAACAACAATTAGGAACCAAGAGGAGGCCTTCTCACGGGCTGGCGAGAAACACCGGAGACCGAAGAAGACCCTGGAGAGAAGTGAGAGACGGATATCTCTAGCAAGAACTTTTTTTCATGCATGATAGATGCACACACATGTTGCTTAAAGTACTTACATAAAATTATAGGAAGGGAAAACGGATTTTGAGTTGAATGATGATGGATCACTTTGTTTCTATATTCTTGACGGTTTGTTTTGGAAAATGAGGCTCTCTGGATTTTTAACTCATTTTCTTTTTCCGTCAAGATTAATCTAGAGAATTGATTATGCCCTCGATCTACAATTTAGAGTTGCTGTGTGGTAGTTAAGAATATCCAGAGATGTGTTTATGTTGTTCCCAATGATTCTGTATTTCCTTCGCATGAACTGAACTAATCACGCTTGAGCAAGAGGTGAAAAACTCAAAACTTTCTCTTGAATCCTTCCGGGGAAGTACATATCAATTTGACAACATGTGCTACATGCCAAGAAACAGCAATATCCTTATCTCTAATATTTTCTTATTTTTTCCTTGCATTCTTAGGAAATAGAATCAGACTTGACGTACAAAATTTCTTATCTATTGTTACAACTCAATGTTTCAAGTACTTTTATGTAAACATCTTACAATAATAGTTTTCAAGATAAGGTTCTGATCTTTTCTCAAATCATTCATCTATGCATTTTCAGAATGTTAGCTAACAAAATATTCTGTTCTACCAGAGAAGTAGATGGTAAAAATGAGTGGAACTGAAGCCATTTTGACTATATGGGAGAAAATAAAATATGTTGAATCTAGGGATTAGCTTGAGAGGCCTTGGAATACAGTAGTTGTGGTATGATTTTGTCTATTGTTGTGTTCGCAGTAGACAAATTATCCTGATGAATAAAATTATTTATGTTGTCAGTTGTTGCCCACTTTTTAACAAAAAAAAAAGCTAAGGAATTGTCAAGAAAGGAGTCTGCAGAAAACCACGTAAGATTGTCTGCGCAAAGACATCCATAACAAACTTACTACAACAATCTGTTTCCCCCACTCAGCTAAACATTTACAATTTTAAAACACCATTGACTCATATATTCGAACATGCATTGTGAGAACACGTCAGACCGCATATGTAGACCTCTATACCATACCTTAGCTAACAAGATCATCTCTGCCTTAATAATTCCAGGAAGCACTAGAAGCGGCAAGTCAAGTAATCGGAAATTGATTACATGTGCTTTGAATAAATCTATTCAGTTTAGAAACAAGATTCTCAGTAAACCCATTCTCTAAATGTAATTACAATGTCTAGAAAGATCCCTGATCTTACCAAAAAAACAACAACCACAAGCTTAATGTTGATGCTGATGCCGACGTCCGACGACTTATAACATTTATAAAACAATCAACGCAACTAGAGAGGATAGATAAAAACATATATATAACTATTCGAACAATTAATACAATAGATCATAAAACACGTAACAAACAATCAAAACAACAGATAATCACGATTAGTCAAATTCAATTAGGGGTGTTAAATTTGGATGTTTGTTTGGTGTATTTTTTTGATCTTTTGGTATTTCAGTTTATAAAAATTAAGTACCATATTAATATCACATTTACTTGGGTTTGAGTTGGTTTATATACTCATGATTTTTCGGTTTATTCGGTTTTATAGTAAAACCATAACTGTATTTATTTTTTATAACAAATATTAATTTATATGATTATAAATCAGATTTACTAAAAATAATATATATTCCTTACTCTAATCTTCAAATAGAATATCTTATCTTTGTATGTTTACTATTAAAAAGTCATATAATAATATTATTAAATAACTATATTTTAGCACAAATATTTACTAATAGAGTATATTATATTTAATTTGATGAATCTGAGATTTTTATAACTTAGAACAAATAAAAAATTAAGAAAATATTTTCTTTAAATATGAACACCTTATTAATAATTAAATCATGTATATATTAATAATATTATTATAAAATTTGCATATAAATATACTAATATTTTGTAATTAATCATTTTATTCGGTATGATCGGTTTTATTTGGTATTGCAAAATTTACACCATTTTTTTAATATCTGTTCATTTCGCTTTTAATTGGTTCGGTTTTATTAGATTAAACACCCATAAATTCAGTGACAATAACATCCTAAACAAAACGAACATGTATATAACAATATCCTTTGACATAGAGTTTCATATAAACAATTTAACCAAATTCTTAAAGCCATTCCGCACGAAGCGCGGACAACCACTAGTAATCAATATACATACATTTTATTTTCTGAAAGAGATTTTTGAGCTTTTATAATGGCATGTAAAATAATACAACTAATTATAGTTGCATTGTATTGCTGATGTATTTCATGTTTATTAAACTGAAATCCTATATAAAACTATTTTAAAAAGACATCCTATATAAAACTAGATCCAATATAAAGATGAAATAATTTTTTTAATTTTTTTTTTAAATAACATCAAACCAAAGTTAGCTAAAGTAAATAGAAAATTTAAAAACATCATAACGTCTCTTAAAAACGATGTAAATTAATTATAGTATAAAACTAAAACAAAATCTTAAAAAACTCACATTTTTTTTATAAAAACATAATCACACCAAAGTTAAGTAAACAGATTTTTTTTATTTAAAAAAAAATCAAAAATCCTTAATAGAATTAATAGTGACTTTAGTGTTAAGATTTTAGTATATTATATATTGTATAAAGTTAATAGAACTTTAATGTTCAAATAAAAACACACTGGTTTCTCAGTTAGGTTTAACGCGGTTCAGTTTGATTTCATTTGGAGCGGTTTCAGTTTAGTTGGTTCGGTTTAACTCGGTTTGGTTTGTTTTTTTGTCAACCCCTAGTCTAAAGTAGAGATCCAATGTACATATGATTTTCTAAATGATATGAAATCATCCATATGTGAATTTATTAACATGAAATACCTCAACCATACAATACATCTATAATTATTTGTATTATCATACATGTCATTGTAAAGCCTCAAAAATCTCTTTAAGAAATTAAAATCTCATATATTGATTTATTGTATCTTACTTGAAAATATTTTAAATTATGACTTAAAAAAAGATTGATGGTTTAAATTCCGCAAGTATTTTTAATAGACAAATTAAATACTCAAGTATTATATGCGCATATTTATTCCTCAACTGCATAAAATTACGATTCGAGTAGTCTAACCGTTATAAAGTTGACGGAAACTGTTATCTTTCCGTTACCCAGATAACGGTTGACTATTTCGTTCCTAATTTCGCGCAGTCAACTATTAGTTGGAGAATAATTCTACATGAGAAATACTTGAGTATTAAAACTACCGATTTCAAATACTTGAGGAATTAAATACCCATTTTCCCCTCGATTTTCTATATTATTTCTTATCTTTATATTTTCTAATATGATCGATTTCGTCGATCTCTCACTATATTAAAAGAGCCATTCTACATAGCTCTATATGAAGCAAATCATATCCGTAAAACATCCAAATTAGAAGCTTCCAAGTGATCGATCTTCGTGTTTTTGGGGAAAAACTAAAACAGTTTGGGTACTTTGAATAATTTGTATTATTGATCTCATAGCAATCCAATTGTAACAAAAATGGATAAGAGTCTTAATTTGGGCCCATCAATGTTATTTGTCTTAACAAAAATTATAAGCCCGTTTTACTGTCCATGTTATAAGCCTGTTGTAAAATGTTGACGTGCTCTTTATCAAGGTTTGTAGAGTTGATTACTCTCTGAGACACTTTTTGACTTCACTTACATTCAGAGCAAGTTCCTACATGCAAGACACTTTGTTGTGGACCAACAATAAATTATGGACAATTTTTCCCTTAACACATGTGTGGTGTGGATGGATGATGCATAGACGGGTGATTTGTGGACATGGACATATTAATGTTTGAGGACAATTTATAGACATGGACACATGAATGTTTAAACCAATAAGTTGTGGAGATAACAATTATGGATGGGTTTGTCGCGAATACATTATCATAGATATACAACAATGGATTGGTGAAGCCATTGCTAAAAAAAAAAGATTGGTGAAGCCATTTTCGTAAATTAGTGAAACAAAAGTACATTAATAAAGCTTGACACACTCGTTTATTACATTTTTACAAGAACTATAAAAACAAGAAGCACATCACAAAAGAAACATACTTTACATCATGTTTTAACTAAACCAATAAAAGGTGGGAAACGGAGTAACAAAGTAGATTGATGTTAAAAGATGAAGAAATATTACTTGCTAACAACATATGCAGGTTTTTGGGTGTGTACATTAGTATATATTAATCTTATTTAATTTCTACCATCCCCATCAAATCCAGAACACATATCCACCTCCTATGCCTTTCTTCAAGTTCACCCTCTTCATGTTTTGCAGAATCTCAGGTTCACCCATGGGATTTGCTCAAGCTCAAAGCAAATAACTTGATCAGAGCAAGAAAAATGTAATAGCAAAAACAAGTTTCCTCAAGATCCTCCTATATCTTTGCCAATCCTACTCCAAAATAAGAACACTCAACAGATTAATCCAGCAATGAGGTGAACTCTAAATGTTCTAAAAACCTTTAAGAACTCTAGGTGAAATAACACTCAACACATTAATCTAGCAAATAACTTGATCAGATCAAACTTTACCCTTTCAATTATGCTATGTGAATCAGTAGCTTAACCACGCCTAGCTCGAACCCTTGGACGGATTGATGTAGGATGATGTAGTGTCGATGGAGCTCGCTGTTGCAGTAGCTGCCCATGGAAGACCTTACAACAACACAAAACATGTAAGAATCAAAGAAAAACACAAATCATTTGTTCAAGAAATGATTGCATAAGATGTATATAAACCAGTTAAAGCACGACAACAAGATCAACCACACATGCACATAGATTAAGAAAAGCTAAGGAATTAGCTTACTGATACAAACATAACATCATCAGAGAAACGTTTCACACATCCATAATCACCTTCATGTCTAAGAAATCCATGACCTTTTCTCTTGTTCAAGACTCAAACCTAGAGAAAACATCTGGTTATAAGACCTACTTTCTCCTAACCCAACCATGAGACCTCCTTCCTCGTTTGAACCCAACTGCGGTATCATCGGCGGTTCTCCTCCCCTAAGCCACCGTATGAATTTCAGAGTTGCGTCTAATAGTAACCAAATTTTAACCATAGTAGTATTCTAAATAGCATGTGAAAGATCCAAAGAGCTCAGAGAGAATAAAAGCTTTGAACTTTAACAAATAAAAACACAATTAGGGAGGAGAAGTAAAAGAAAAGTACCTTCTCTCTGGAACATTTGAGGAAGAAGACACGATAATCTAGGGTTTCAGATCCTTAACCTGGATTGTAAATCACATTGGAGTGAAAATCAACCAGAGGGAAAACAGTACAATAACACGGGATGGAGAATCCGTCGCTGCTATTAACATCTGAAGATATTAAAATATTTGTGAAGATAATCATCTTGTTGTTTCCCTCTTCGTCACTACCAGATCTAGAGAAATTGGAGGGAGTGAAGTGCTCTGGAGCCATTAGTTGTAGCATGAAGTAAGAGAAGACCTCATTGGTGAGACAATGCATGGGATTGGAGAAGTTGAGGAAGAGATGAACGAGAGAAAGTGATGTTTGAGTTGGGAAAGCGTAAGATGGACAAACAACACTAAAAAATGTCTCTCAAGTGGAATGTGGCTTTCCATGTAATTAAAAAGATATAATGTGTCTTCTAGTGTAAATAATTATTTATTTGCAAGCTTGTTTACTAATACTATTCTTTATAACAATGGTGATTTTTGGTATTTTATTTTATTTATTAATTATCTTTTTTTTTACAACGAACGACCATTATATTACTTGTAGTTGAGGTGATCTTGGTAACTAGATTGGAATAGAACAACCAATAAATTGTAATTTCCTATGGAAATATCTAGCAGTCTTGGCTAAAAAATCAGAAATCTGATTTTGAAGTCTGGGAAGCATATCTGCAGAGTCTCTATCCTCTCTAGTTCAGTGGCAAAGCTTGGTCAAGCATGATGCTCTTTGATCATGGCAATCAGATCCATACAATCCGTTCTAAAGCTTTGGCATGTCGAGTGATGTAGCATATTCTCCATCGCTGTCGTAGTACTGCTACTTCTGAATGCATGGCTGATTCACATCGAATGTAATTTCTTGTCCCCATAAGTTAAACTTCCCAAAAGCTATTCATCCAAACCCATCTATTTCCACTGAAATTTGATGTGGGTGTTCATGACCTATCTATCAAGCAGATATCACCCAAGCTTATGGCTTGGGGTTCCTCAATACTATGATTTTGTAATGTTGGTAACACATTCTCGTTTGCATTAAACCAGGCTTGACATTCACTCTCAGCATAATGTACTAGCTCCGATGGATCTATATCTATCCCCCTGAAAAGTTTGTCATTCCGGGCCTTCCAAATATACCAGATTATCCATGGATAAGGATCCCTGTCTACTTCTGGTTCGACAGTGATGTTCTTCCTCCAGAAGAGATACTTCATATTAGCATATATACTAGGGACCATAAATATATCTTGATTTATCTTTGAAAGGGACCAAACTTGAAGAGCTGACGGGCATTCGAAAATGGCACGCGATACAGATTCTTCTGGTTCTCCACATCTTGGACAGTAGTTGTCACACCTCATGTTACGTCGTACTAAGTTTCTCGTTACTGCCACATGACATGTTATCAATTGCCATATAATATGACATATCTTTTTGGTGCTTTTATCTTCCAAGCAAAGGCTTGAAGCTTAGTGGTACTTGGCTCAAACACTTCCTTTTCTTCCTCTGTCTTTAATAAGTTCTGAGCTACCCAATATCCAGATTTAACCATATATTGTCCATTCCTAGTATAATTCCAGCAAAATCTATCACGACGATGAGTTGAGCTTATGGCCAAACTCCTTATGAGGGGTATATCATCCGGTCTAACATAATTCTCCAGTAAACCAACTTCCCACTCCTTAGAGACCTGATTAATAAGGTCACTGACTCTCATGTTCGGATGCAAAACTGGGGCTAAAGGGATAGCCGACCTAGCTGGTGTTGTGGGGATCCATGGATCCTCCCACACCTTGACTTCATATCCAGAATGTATCTTCTGCTTGATTCCCAATAGCAGTAGCTTTCGTGCGGCAGAAAGGTTAGTCCACACAAAAGATGGACTGCTTATAGAATTTGTTCTTAGAGGCGAACTCAATCTATATTATCTTCCTTTCAAGACACAAACCACTAACGAGTCTGGGTATTGAACTAGCCTCCATACTTGTTTTGCTAATAATGCCAGATTGAATTCATGGATCATATGAAATCAATCCCACCCTCCTCTCTTGGTAAATATACATTTTCTCATTTCACCCAGTGAATTTCTCTCTTCAAGGGATTTGAACTCCACCAGAATTAAGCAATGACACTTGTAATGTTTTCACAAAACTCCAGTGGCAGTAGAAAGCTATACATAACATATGTTGGAAGAGTTAGCACGATGGACTTAATCAACACTTCCTTTCCTCTTTTTGAAAGCCATCTGCATGTCCATCCATTCACTCTATGTATTAACCTGTCCTTGACAAAGGCAAAAAAAATTACATTTGGATCCACTAAGAGCATGTCCAACGGGGGATGAAGACCAGTCCTTAGCATTGACACGTTGGCAAAAGTAAAGAAAAAATTAATATTTTAATTACCATGGGTAAGGATTAATCCTTAGATAAGGAGAGGAAGAGGCCGATCCTTGCTGACGTGTCTGGTTCGCTTGGGACTGACGGGGAAAAAAAAATTTCATTCTGTCGAGCAACATTAAAAAAAAAATCTCTCGCGATAGAGAAGGCGAAAAGCGACGATCCTTGTTCAAGGTAAATCAAAGACTTGTACTTGATTTTTTGTCGATCTGGAGTTGCTGCATGTTGATTTCAATAGTTTGTGGTGCTTGAGTGTGAGTTTTTATAGATTTTTTCAGGGAAATCGATTTGGGGATTTTGAAAAAATTAGGGCTTTTACAGACGGCAGAGTGACGACGGCGACGGCGCTGGGTTTGGTGGTGGGTCATGATGGCTTAGGGATTGTGGGGTGGTTTCAGTGAAAAGAGGAGAGTGGAGTTGAGTGGGTGGTGAGAGAGGAGGAAGGGAAGTTTGAGATGCTTGAAGGTGAGGTTTTGACAGAGAGGATTGGGATTGAGACAAGGGTTCGTGGTGCTGACTTGGAGGTGTTTGTGGTGTGAGAGAGAGAGAGAGACAGAGAGGGGGTTGGTCTCCTTGGTGGATATTCTTTGATGCTGTTTAATGGGAATTTTTGGAGCTTCTCTATTTTTGTGTGTGTTGATTTGGTGAAAACTGGCTACAAAAATCTGGTGTTTTGTTCGATGGTGAAGTAGCACTACTTAGACAAATTATTGATGTTGATGATGGCCTTACTGTTTCTGCCAAACCAATTTCCGCAGAGTACGTGACGTTGATATGAAGCGTGACTTTGCCTTTGTCGTAAGTAGTTCTTCCACTTCTTAACCTGACCTTTTTTTTTTAGCTCAATGTTTATGTTAACCATCATGATTGTCTCTTTTTGGTTGGTCTTCTCTGTTTCTCACCTTTTGATGACAAGATTTTAGCGATCCCCGAGATGCTGATGATGATAAAAGTATTAAACAATAAAACTTTTATTTTGTTGCAGACGGATCTGGATTTTGATGAAGATATTAAAGAAGACCTTGGCTCAGAATGTTCGAAGTATGGGAGAGTCGACCATATTTGTGTAGACAAGTAAGCATATCATCATCCCATGAGTTTCAGTCAAAATGGCTTTTACCTATTTGGCTCTTGATGTTTGATAGATTGTGATATATTGGTACTCTGAATAAAATGCAGGAATAGCGCAGGTTTTGTGTATCTACGGTTTGACTCGGTGCAGGCTGCAGTGGCAGATCAAAGAGCTATGCACATGAGATGGTTTGTGCAAAAGATGATATCTGCAACTTTCATGGTAATATAAGATTGCACTGCTGGTGACCGGAAGAACAAATGTTATCGATGTGGAGATAGAGGTCACATTGAGAGGAACTGCAAGAACAGTCCCAAGAAGCTCAAGTACATACCCACCTTTCACCCTTTAAACAATGCTTTGGTGTGTGTGTGTGTGTTTGTCTTTTTGATCGTTCTTTCTGTTATTCAGGCGGGACCAAAGTTACTCGAGATCACCAGTTAGCTCTCGGTCACCTCCTCGTCGTAGAAGAAACCGCAGCAGAAGCAGAAGTCCAAGCTACAGGTTTATATTTTCTTTATCACATTTATTAACATCACTATTAGACCGAAATGGGAGTGGAAAGACTTGGAGCCTTACTTAAGGTAATGATTTGATCAGACGCTTGAGTTTTTTTTGGATTTATGAATTGATTGTGTTGTATTGTATGGTATTATTATGTAGATTCAATAAATAAAAAAATTAATTTAAATATTTAACAAATTTAATAAAAAAAAAATTCTAAGGATTCCATAACGGGTAGCACCATTGGAGGATCATTTCTAATTAGAATTCTTAACTATTCAAAAAAAAAAAAACAAATATTTTATTCCTAAGGACTCCAATGGTGGATAACACCATTGGAGGTGCTCTAATATATATCTTCTGGGATACCTAAGTATGTTCCCGTTCTTCCTTCATTCTTAATACTGAGTGTATCTTTAAGCTTTTGTTTGACAGTTGCGTTAATCCTCTTACCAAAGAGTAATGAGGATTTCTTAAAGTTAATACATTGGCCTGATGCTTGTCCATATTTCTTGACCACTTTCATCACTTTTTCACATTCACGGGGCTCCGTCTTACAAAAGAAAAGGCTATCATCAGCAAAGAGAAGGTGATATACTGAAGGACATGCGCGTGTAACAAGCATCCCCGTTATTTTTCCTTGGTTCTCTGCATGATTGAGAAGGCTAACGAACGATTCCTTGCATAGAATAAAGATGGAAGAAGACAAAGGATCTCCTTGATGTAGACCTCTTTCTGGAACAATATTTTCCCTTGGTTGCCTATTCATGAGCACTTTGTACTTTATTGATATAATACACCGCATTATCCAGGTAATCCAGACCTCATAAAAACCCATTTTTCGCATGATAGTTTCAATAAACGACCACTCCAACCTAAAATACCTAGTGGCAATGGTCACCAACACTTCTTCATCCTCAGTAACATTTCCATTTTCATCTAGGAGCTGTGTGATTTTATTTCTTGTTCTCTTTTGCTTTGTTAGTGCATGAAAGAATTTTGTGTTTCTGTCTCCTTTTCTTAGCCAGAAAACCTAATTTTTTGTTTTGTTTTGTTTCTAGAACATTTCTTCTACCTTAAGAGTATAAGAAAGTTCTTTCGACGCTTTTGAAATTTCTTCAGTTGTAGCATCATCATTCGCGTATAAACCCTCTATCTTTTCTTTAAGCTCCTCCATTAGTTTTGCTGAGTTTATATTGTGTTGTTTCTCCACTCACTCAAAGCTCTCGTAGTTTGAAATATGTTCCATAATATTTGCGTTAGGAGGAAAATTAGGAGATTTCCATTCATCAAGAATGACTTGCCAAAATTTCTCATTATTCAGCCACCTCTTGGTAAACTTGAAATTTTTAGATTTCTTCGTTAGTTTTTTAAGAATGTCAGCAAGAATCGGATAATGGTCTAAACCCCATAATTTCATATACTTTACAATTGAGTGAGAAAACTTTTTATACAATCCGTATTTCCAATTGTTCTGTCAAACCGGCATCTAACGGTTATTTGTCCTGTTCTCTTCCATAATATATTTTTTTTTTGACAACGAACGGCTGATCTATTACTCAACCTTGAGGTGGTCTGAGAATCCAGACTGAAATAGAACAACCAATATACATGAGATCCCGATAAAAGGATCAGACAGTCTTAGCTAGGTGATCGGACACAGCATTTAGAGATCGAGGTACATAAGAAATCTTAAAATCTGGGAAACAAATCCTCAGCGTCGAGATTCTCTCTAGTTCCGTCGAAAAGCTTGGCCATCCATGGGGATCCTTGAGAATTGCTAACAATTCTTTGCAGTCCGTCCCAAAGCTCTGACATGGCGAATGTTGAAGCATGTTCTCCATTGCCCACCGCAGCGCTTCCAGCTCCGAATGCAAAGCCGACTCTACTCTACTCACATTACGCATCCCCATTAGTTAACTGTCTCCCATGCTGTCCTTCCAGTCCCAACCACAACCGGAAAATTGATCTATAGAGGTCCAAGAACCATCTATCATGTAAATATCACGTAGGCTTATGGCCTGCCGATCAGTATTACCATCCTCTTGTGTAACCACAGCACCCTGCTCATTGGCTTGGAACCAGGCAAGACACTCACTCTCTGCATACCGGGCCAACTCCAACGGATCTCTATCTATTCCTCTGAACAACTTATCATTCCGAGCTTTCCAGATATACCATATCAGCCAAGGATAAGGGTCCCTTTCTAATTCTAACCCACAAATGATCTTCTTTCGCCATAGCAGATAATCCATATTCGCATATGTGCTCTGCAAAGGAAATAGAGTTAAGCTGGTAGGTATAGATGCTAAGGCTCATACCTGTAAAGCCGGTGGGCATTGAAAAATTGCATGTGCAATCGTTTCATCCAGTTCTCCGCATCATGGGCAGAAATTATCGTATCTCATATGTCTATGATTCAATGCGCTTGTAACAGCCACCTGTCCCGAAATGATCTGCCACATAAGATGACACATCTCCGGGGGTGCTTTAACCTTCCAAACTTGTGCTTGAAGCCTTTTAAAGCTAGGTTCACCTACCAAATTCTCATCCTCCTTCGTCAGTATATTACGAGCTACCCAATAGCCGGACTTGACTGTGTACTGCCCACTCCCTGTGTAACTCCAGCAGTGTGTATCTCTACGATGGGTTGAACTAATTGCCATACTCCTTATGAGAGGTATATCATCAGTGTCAACATATTGTGCCAGCCGATCCAGGTCCCAAGACTTTGTTTCTTGATTGATAAGATCGCTCACTCTCATATTCGGATTCAGCACCGGAGCTGATGCATGCGCTGGTCTCACTGAGATTGTGGGAATCCATGGATCGTCCCATACCTTCACTTCATATTCTGAATGGATTTTCTGTCTAATCCCCAATAGCAATAACTCACGTGCAGCCGAGATGCTTGTCCACACATACGATGGACTACTGACAGTGTGCTTTCGCAAAGGCGAACTTTGTCTATAATACCGTCCACTCATAACAAGAGCAACCAGTGGATCCGGATTTTGGGCCAATCTCCATAGTTGCTTTGCTAGTAATGCCAGGTTAAACTCATGTATCATCCTGAATCCAATTCCACCTTCCTCCTTAGGCTTACATAACTTATCCCATGTTGTCCAGTGTAGGCCTCTCTTTGGTGGGTTTGAACTCCACCAAAACTGTGCAATGGCACTAGCCAAGGCATCACATATCTCCAATGGAAGCAAAAAACATGACATAACATATGTTGGAAGAGCCAACAAGATTGACTTGATCATAACTTCCTTTCCACCTTTGGACAACCATCTACTCGTCCATCCATTCACTCTGTTCCGAAGTTTGTCTTTTAAGAAAGCAAACAACTTGCATTTCGAGCCACTAATGTTCTCTGGTATCCCTAGGTAGGTTCCCATTCCTGCATCATTTTGTATCCCAAGTGTATCTTTGATCTCTTGCCTGGCCTCTTGACCGATCCTCTTACCAAAGAGTAAAGAAGACTTGTCAAAATTGATGCATTTTCCAGAGGCTTGTCCATATTTATTAACCACTTTCATCACTTCTTCACACTCACGGGGCTCCGCCTTACAGAAGAACATGTTATCATCAGCAAAGAGCAGGTGGGATACCGAAGGACACGCACGCGTGATGCGCATCCCTGTTATCTTTCCCTGATTCTTTGCGTGATTAAGAAGGCTAACGAGCGCTTCCGTGCATAGAATAAAGATGAAAGGGGACAAAGGATCCCCCTGACGGAGACCTCTCTCAGGAACAATATTCCCTTGTGGCTGTCCATTCATGAGTACCTTATACTTTACTGTCGTTATGCATCGCATAATCCAAGTAATCCAGATTTCAGAGAATCCCATCTTCCTCATGGTGGCTTCAATGAAAGACCATTCCATACGATCATATGCCTTACTCATGTCTGTCTTGATAGCCATTCTCTTATTGCGCCCACTTGATTTTGTTCTTAAGGCATGAAATAATTCCTTGGCAATCATTATGTTGTCCGATATCTGTCTCCCAGCAACAAAGGCTGACTGGGTTTCAGAAATCCTATATGGAAGAACCTTTTTAAGTCTTTGGCATAAAACCTTTGATATAATCTTGTAGCAAACATTGCAAAGACTGATGGGTCGCAGTTGACTCATCTGGTTTGGCTTTTCAACTTTTGGGATAAGGCATATATTAATATCAGTGAGCCCTGTCGGAATAGTGCCTTGAAATAAGAATTCATTAACCATACGAGTTAAATCATCCTTAACGATATCCCAAAATTTTTGATAGAACAAAGCTGTCATTCCGTCAGGTCCAGGAGCTTTCTCAGGATGCATAGCAAACATGGCTAATTTAACCTCCCATTATGAAACTGGAGCTGTGATCCCCTCATTGTCTGCAGGTGTAATTGTAGTAGTTACTTCTGAAAGTGCCTCCTCAATCACCTCAGGGTTTGATGATTGAAAGATTTGGCAAAAATAACTAGTAGCAATGGCTACCAGGCCTTCCTCATCCTCCACCACATTCCCCGCTGTATCTAAAAGTTGGGTTATCCTGTTCCTCGCTCTTCGCTGCTTCGTTAAAGCATGGAAAATTTTTGTGTTTCGATCTCCCTCCCTTAACCAGAATACCCTACATTTCTGCTTGCAGAATAATTCCTCCACCTTAAGGGCATCATACAATTCTTTTAGAGACGCCGCTATCTCCTCCGTAGTGGCATCATCATTGGAGGATAACCGATCTACCTTTTCCTTTAACTCCTCTACGTTTTTCTCTGAATTCAGATTGTGTTGTCTTTAACAATCACATAACGCCCGCCTGCAGCTTATAATGTGCTACATAATACTTGCTCCCGGTGGTAAATCTGGTGATTTCCATCCTTAAAGTATAATCTGTCTGAGTTCCTCATTCTGAAGCCATCGTTTATCAAATTTAAAGTTTTTCGATCTTCGTGG